CTATGTCCTCTATTTTTGTCGGCAGATGACTAATGCAGCTGTAGCAACCATTGTCCAGAATTGCCCCGATTTAACGCATTTCCGATTATGCATAATGGACCCAGGTCAACCAGATTATCTCACAAATGAACCCATGGATGAAGCTTTCGGTGCAGTGGTTAAGACATGCACTAAACTCCAGAGGCTTTCAGTTTCGGGTCTCTTAACCGATCTGACATTTGAGTATATTGGTAGGTATGCGAAGAACTTGGAGACCCTTTCAGTGGCTTTTGCGGGCAGCAGTGACCGGGGCATGCAGTGTGTTCTGACAGGTTGTCCGAAACTAAGGAAACTTGAGATAAGAGACTGCCCATTTGGCAATGCAGCACTGTTGTCAGGTTCGGACAAGTATGAGTCCATGAGGTCACTTTGGATGTCAGCCTGCAATGTGACAATGGATGGATGCAGGCTATTGGCAAGGGAGATGCCCAGATTGAATGTCGAGGTAATGAAGGAGGATGGATGTGCTGATAGTGAAGCTGATAAAGTCTATGTTTATCGTTCTATTGCAGGCCCAAGGAGGGATGCCCCACCATTTGTGCTTACTCTCTGAAATGCTTGGTAATCTCTCTGTTACGATACAAACAACCGGCTTTGGATTAACATATTTTTCATGAACAAGATCCCATGTCCTGGTAATAACTGATCTTCAAGCTACTCTACCATCAATTTTGTTAAGTTGTCTTGAGACAAGACTTATTGCTCAAGTACTTTTCTTTGATGAAGCTGTGTGTATCTTTTCTTTAATCAGTTTTTGTTTATCATGAAGCTTTAAATTTCTTACATGCCACTTCTAGCAATAAAGAATACGACTCATACCTTCCCGAAGACGTATAAAACGGGTTATATCATTACAAAGTTTATATTTATTACAGTGTTAGTATACAAATTTACTATATTATCAATTAAACTAATATCGTTTAACATTTGCAATTAAAGTATTGATAATTAAATCGACAATAATAAAAGATAATTAAGATCATAATCATCTTTTTGTCGGCCTTGAAAGACATAAATTTTGATTTTTTATTCTTAACAATCTAATTTACCAAACTATAGATCCATTCAAAATAAAGCAAATTCCTTGGTGTTGCTTGGAAGTTTGAAGCAATGTCCCAAAATTTTTAATCAAAACAAATACGTTACGAATGCATGTGCCATCAAGCTTCGACATTATTCCCACCACGATTACAATCATGTTCATCATTTTAATTTAAAACTTAATGAGGTTGCCAAGTGTCGAAACTCGAGAGGTCAAAAGCTTTGTGAACCATCGTGCTATGGCCGAGTGCCACGTGTAATCGCCCCCCCTCACCCCCAACTCGAGTCGGCCATTGTGATATTTCTTTGGAGTCCGCCAATGTCTACTACGAGGCGAGGTACAAAGATTGGACAATGATGTGGACGTTCAATGGACGAAGGATTGCCTGCCAGAACATGGAGTTCTTAATCTTCGGGGGACAAAAAGGGTAGGGGTCTTAATCCAAATTCAAGATCATAATTTCATGGATTTCCTTATGGTTTTTTTTTAAAATTTAAAACATTATCTACCCCATTTAGTTTTTAACATAAAATGAAAAAAAAATCAAGATTAATAAATGTAAATTTTTATATTAATATTGCATTCAATTCAAACAAATTTGAATAATCATTTACAAATCGTGTTAATATAATAAATTAAAATACAATTTATAACATATGTATTTGTTTGGAGTAATGGGTCAAACCAAATAATGTTTCTCTCCTAATACCTAAATAACCTCTCTTTTTAGAGGTGATTTTTATCCATTAGTTAAATTTCAAGCTAAAATCAATGGGTTAGGGCATTTATAATCACACGCTTTTAGTGCTCATTAGGCACTTTTCCATTAATAAAAAAAAAAAACACACAACAGATGAGAATGAATCCTTGATTAGAGGCTTTGGGTTCTTGGATGCATGTGATTTCCATAACCTAACATCAAGTTGAAGAGCTGGGTCACATCACCCCCAAAAACCCAGAAGAGTGGTTAGGGGTCCCACAAATGGGGGGCAACCCCAGACCCATCCCTCTTCCTAACATCACATGATCACTCGGTTGATATGCCAGTATTGCATTTATTACAACTACTGTGCCTTCCCCTATTTTTCTTTATTCCAAAAATGACGTGGAATCTTCCCCCATCTTTAGTTATATATAATAGAAGACGACCCACTCGGGAAATGTTAAAGAGAAAGATTTGTCGTTTTATGTACATAAATTAAATTACCCAAAAATATATTTTTTTTGAATGATTGTGTAGAAGACATGAAGAACACAACATTATAGAAAGAATTGGTAGGTCTGAATTCTTTCTTTCTTCATAGGAAACTCACTAGGTCACCAGGCAGCCGTGGGGCATTACACAAATATATATAAATATAAGTTGATCGATGATAAAGATGAAAAACAGTTAACACGGATTATTTGATTTATTTTTTCATTCAATTTTGTTATTTTTTAGAAAATTTTGCCTTGTTCAATATTGTAAAATTGAAAATTTTGACGGAATATTCCTTTTCACTTAAACTAATAACTTTACTCAATGCTAAAGGAAAAGGGTTCTAACATATATTTTTAGAGTTTTATAATTTTATCATTATAAATATTTAATTTTTAATATAATTATTTTATAAATATTATTATTGTCTTTCAAACTACTGAAATTACTTTGATTAGAATCAGAGGCGGAGGGAGGGAGCCTAGTAGCCCCCCAAAGTTTCAAAAAGTTTACAAAATTTTCTTTATTTTGTTTTTAATATTTATAATTTTATTTTTAATTTTTTAAAAATCTTATAATTTTACCTCCAAGTATTGAATTTTTATTTTTATCTTATTTAAGTTTAAAATTTTGACTTCATCGTTGCTCAGAATGGTTCCTACAAGTTGAAATGCTGGTTTTTTTTTAACTAAGAAGAAAAGGTTTCAAGCTTTGCATGCGTAATCAGGCCAAGCTGAGCTTCTTACTTGTGATCACACTTTGGACTTTTTCTTTTTTGAACTTTTCATCCCATCATTTTCCATTTCCATCCCATTCTTTTGCGATTGAAACAGCGAAAATGACTGGTTATAAGTCAAGTAACTTTCATTAAACAACTTGGCAATCCAACCCAAAACCCCTCCCCCTTTCTGCACAACATGACAACTTGTGATAAGTTTTTTTTTTTTTTTTTTCAAACTTTGGCC